AGGAGAGAATGTGTTCTCAGGGTGAAGTGCACAAGGTATCCTTCCATGTAGGACAAAAATATAACTCAAAAAAAGAGCTAAAGGAAAAAAAAATTATATGCATGAATTGGAGACTAGAAGAAATATTTATTTTACAAAAAATGAAAAACATAGGTTGATAGATGTTTTTAAGGGAATTGTGGTAGTCAATGCAAGTGGGGTTGGTGGACCTACCAGAAAAAAGGTAAAACACAAAGAAGTAATTGAATAAAAGGCCAAGTGTACTTGGAGACTCCACACATCTATGCAAATGATAATGCGTATTGGTTTGTAAAGACATATAATCGCAATCAGATCTGCCTTCAATCCCGAAAAATCAAATCTTTCATTACCACCTTCATTTCGAAATAGATTATGGATCAGATTGAATCAAATCCCGGAGTGCCAATTCGTGCAATGCAAGAGGAGCTACAGAGGAAGTATGAGGTTAGTATTTCGGGTGACATGGTTTTTAGGGCTAAAGCTCTCGCAACAAAAATGGTGGTTGGAGGCTATAATAAATAATATGTAGCTTTAAGATATTATGTATTAGAGTTACAAGCAACAAATGTGGATACAACTGTGAAAATTCAAGTGGAGTCTAAGCCTAACTGTAACAACTCAACCAGGCAATTTAAAAGGATGTATGTGTGCTTAGGAGCTTTGAAGAAAGGGTTTAAGATTAGGATGAGGGATTTTCGGGGTTTGGATGGTGCCTTCACGAAAGGACCATTCCCAAGTCAGATTCTTACAACTGTTGGGGTTGATTCCAATAATGGAATCTATCCCCTGGCATATGCAATTGTGGAGACTGAGAACACTAATTGCTAGAAATGGTTTTTGGAATGTCTTGGAGATGACTTGGACATGTATGCTAAGTTAAACTTCACATTTATCAGTGACAGACAAAAGGTACTTTTCTGGTTAACATATTTTATTAGACAAAAAAGTTATATTTACATACTAATTTAGCTATTTACTTCATGTAAACATGGTCTCATACCTGCTATTGCACACTTATTTCCTTGTGTTGAACATAGATATTGTCTAAGGCATATCTATGAGAATATGAGAAAATTATGGAGGACTACAGAGTATAAGGAACGTTTGTGGAATTGTGCTAAAGCCACAACCATCCCAGAGTTTGAAACACTTATGACATTCAGATCCTATGACGTGGAAGCATATGAATGGCTTATGAAAATCCCTCCCTATTATTAGGCTAGAATCCATTTCTCAGGTAATTACTTATTTGTATAATTTTATATATTTACATTATTTTCCATTGATTTTACTTACCAATATGTATTATATAATACCAGGTCGGGCAATGTCATATATGTTTTTAAATAATTTGTGTAAAGTTTTGTTAGGTGTCTCAAACCCAACAAATCAAGGGGTACAAAAAGACTCCAAGAACACTGTTACATTGCACTAAAAATGTAATACAATGTAAGCAGGGTCGATCCATACACACACGGGACAAATAATTATACCTCTTTGCGTAAGGTACAAATGTGATCATAAAAGAGGGGGATTTAAATGAAATGATTCAAACAAAGTACTAAAATAATAAGTAAGCAATTGATTAAGTGAAGTGAATTCAAGATTTATAAATACTCCAACTCTATGCAAGACTAATTAGCAATGTGATTCAAAGTATGAAATGATATTTGTTTAATTCTATCTAAGTTGGTATTTAGAAATGCTAACAAGCTCTAGCAATTCTTCTTCACCATTTTAATTAATCAAAATAAGCTCTTTGATTAATTCTAAACTAACAAATCTAACCTAAACAAGCTCTTAGAATTAGGTCGAAAGATTGCATTATGCTTTATGTGAATTTAACCAACCGCATTCATTGCTCCTCATAAGCACGAGAGTGTAAGAATGTGTGAATTTGATTTACACTAGAATCATTGTAAGTAATACGATTTGATGCTTGTTACTTGTTCTATTTTACAAAATAATTACGGATTTTGCATAATAGATAACTTAAACAATTTAACCCTAACTCAATTGGCCAAAAAGAACTAGAATTGAAATCAAACTTTCAATTAAAACAAAATCAAATTCACTAGATAGCATTTAAAATTAAACATCAAGTCACATGATTTATGTCACACATAACAGTCAATACATGAGGTTGGAGAGTCTAGGGTTCTAGCCACACATGACTAGAACAAAACACAAATCTAGAAATTAAATTTAAAGTCTTACAAATTGAAATCCAAAGTAAATCCAAGTGCTTCCAAGTATTAATTCCCTTCCAAATCTTCCAAAAAATCGCCCCCCCCCCCCCCCCCCCCCGGAACTCCTAAAATCAACTTAACTTCTAATGTAACCAGTTACACCCTTTCTAGAAAGAAGAAAAACTGTTTTTTAAATCATGACCATGTTTACACGACCTGTGTAAATTAACACTACCATTTACACGGCCCGTGTAAATACAAAAGTACGTTGTGTAATATGGTCAGGCCTTCAAAGTATAATGCTCAAGAGTCTTCGTTTACACGGCCCATGTAAACACAAGGCCTCCATTTACACGACTGTGTAAGTCTCTGAAAAGCCAAAATCTTCATTCTTTGATATCTCTATCCTTGATGCTTCGTAAGTCCCAAAATTTTGTCTGCAACTCTTATTAACCTCCTCAAACAAGATCCTACCTCCAAAAGTCCCTGAAATATCACATAAGTGTATGAATGAAATTGCCTCATGAAAAATCCCGAAAAACATGCAAAAAGCATAAGTTTAAGCCTATATGGAATGCACTTTTATGAAATAAAGCTACAAAATGGGTACATAAAATGCACCTAACAAATCTCCCCAAGCTTGAACCTTTCTTGTCCCCAAGGAAGAAAAAGAAAAATTTAGACTACAGAAAATAAAATAAAAGATAAGAAACAAAAATGAAAATCAAAACTTTTGAAACTTAATGCAAAAATCAAGACAAACATGAAAAAGATCCAACCTAATTAACCTTGTTTTTGTAGCATAGTTGAGAATGTACCTATCGTGCCTTGAATCAACTTGGCATTTGTCTTAAAATATTATATAGCAATGGAAATAAGACTTTGGCCACTCCATAATACAACTCAACAGAATCAAAGATCACAACACTTGTTCCCTTTCAATAGCATCAAGTCAATTCATGGAACAAATTATGGTTTTACTCTCGTGAAAATGTATGTGATAAAAATATGCTCAATCATCTTTATTTTACAAAATATAACAATGACCGACTCCAACTATTTGTTGATTAACAACAATCTTTTTCTAGAAAAAAACTTTTCTAAGAATTACCTAAAATTTACCCAAATTGGTTACAAATTTCTAATCACTTACACTTGTGAAAGTAATTAACAGTCAGTCCCAATGTTATAAGTTCAAGTCCAAGTCCAAAGGAATCTTTTGGCAGCCAAACATTTTTTCTAAACATATTATTCAATTAAACTATAAACATAAATATATACAAACTATCTAATTATATTTTTCTATAAATAAAGTTCATGGCTTTCTTTGAAATCCATGTAACGGGCTTCCAACCAACACATCCAGTCCAGATGACCTTAGTGTGCTAGATTTAAAAAGATCCCTTTGGGTTTACTTGCCCGAACCTCAAAGGCCACATATTAGCTTTATTTGAATATCTATATATATCTATATTTTTTTGTTATTGTTAAGTTCACGACTTTCTATGGAACCCGTGTAGTGAACTTTCAATCCAACCAGTCCCAAACAATTCAGCTTTAGGCGGTTAGGTGTAGAACACCCCTCGGAGTTTACTCATTCAAATCACAAAGGTCATAGATTAACTTAATAATAATTTTTTTTTATCAAAAACTAGGATAACACATAATACTCTTATCAATTTATTTGCTAGGCTTATTTTTTATATTTTTGTCCTTGACTTTTCTATTGTGGGACATCTCACGGTCTATTACTGTGAGAGGCTTCTAGACATTTTTCGGGGGACTAAAGTCAACATGCAAAGACCCGTAAGTATAGTTGGAAACTATGTCCCCAAGCAGGGTATATAAAAGGGAATTGGTAGAAATGACTTTTTAGAGCGCTGGAAGGCTCGAGACACTGAAATTTTATATTCTTTTTATGCTTTCTTGAATTTGGCATTTTGGGACCAATTAAGCACTTACTACTCATAAGACTGGTCACGTATCCTAAAGATTGACTCATACCTATCGTTATGCTTCGGTGTTGACAACCTTTTCATTTTCTGTTTTGCAAAAGTAGCTTCGGTAGGTGTGTCCATGTGCGATTAGCTTGCTTTGAGATTTTCAATAAAAAGAGCAAGTCTAATCTCAAGGCATACGAGTCACTTACTAGCTCAACTCTTTGAGAAGATTTGGCTACTTGGGATTGGATCAAAATAAACATAAAATAAAAAAAATTGATTTTTTTTATATGAATGTAATGCAAAATTTGAGATGCAAAATGCAAAAAATATTAAAAATAGAATAGAAATAAAATCTTTTTGGTTTTGATAAAATTGAGATGCAGAAAATGAGAGCAAAATAATTAAAAAAATAAAAAAAATGAAAATTATACAATATGTACAAAACTGCAACCTACATGCAATAGGGTCTATTTGCATGGATGTATGCCCCTCCCTAAGCTGAAAATATAGCATCATCCTCGATGCTTGGAGAGAGGCATAGGTTGCCTATTGAGATCCGGGCGGTGGAGGATGTGGTGGGAACTGTGGGGGTAGGAGGGTTGATAATCAGTAGGATAATATGGGGGCCATTGGGGTTGGGATGATGATGGTTGTTGTAGCGGAAGGACCAGTACATGGTAGAGATTGCTAATCAAGTAATGCAAGTTGCGGTTATGTTTCTCTTGATCGGCCCATCATTGATCAAATTCAGCCCACTGCAGCTCCTATTGGGCCTAACGCTCCTCCTAAAGATTACTGTAGTCTTGAAACTTGGAGGTGTGTTCACCAACACCTGTATAAATCTAGCCTACCTCCTGCTGAAGACTCGTGTAATGGTGGTACCATCATGTAAACTCACCCATGTAAATGTTGTGTTCGGGAAAAGGAATGGGGTGAGACGATCTAGCGGCACCTGAAGTTGGAGCAGGGGAGCAGGGGTGGTGGTTGGAGTTCTACGGGCTGTAGTAACACCCAAGTTGGACTGGTGGCGCCAATTTGTAGATGGGATGTCATTGACCAAAGCGAGTATCTTCATATTTCGGCTGTCAATTCGTATATACTCTCTACCATCTATGGTCCAATGAACAACCCCATTGGGATGGCAGTAAAAGAGGTGCATAGTATCCATAACATCAATAGATAAATGAGTGCGGCCTGGAATTATGTTAGTATGGTTGTTGGGTAGGTGGAGACCAAGATGTTCAACTATAATTGAGACCATTCCTCCACAGTGAAGCTGGCCACCATTGCTCATGGAGTTTCTGAGCAGTTTTTGGATTACCCAACACCCGAAATGAGGAACTTCCTTTGGCTTGTGGATCATGCACCATAGGACTTCCAATTCCTTCTTGTTTGCTTTGCTAATATCTTCTTGAGGGAACAAGAGAGAAGCAATGATCCGGTGGGTGGCCTTAAGGATCGAATGTATGATACTAGAAGCCTTTGTTGTACTTGATTGAAACTACCCTTCACAAGAGATGCTTGTCAAAAATCCTCCGCAGTTTTGCTCAAATATGACATTTTTTCTACCATTTTCCATATACACATCCTTTTTTGCTTTAGGAGCACCAATAATGTTGCAAAGGGTGTCAGCATGAATCTGATGTGATTGGTTGAGTAGAATGAAAGGTGAGGATGTGTGTTTGGTAATCAAAGGTGATGGAGGACAAGAGTTCCAACATAGGCGTTTGGTAACTCACGACATGGAGATTCAAGAGACCTTCCCAACCTATGTTCTTCAAAAGTTTGTGGACTCCCTTGTAGATGTAAAGGTCCTTAAGGGTTTGGATATACTCAAATTTTTGAGCTTCTTTACCCTTTATATAAGGCTTGAGTACATAATTTCTTGTGGATTGGACTAAAAAATAAGACCAATTTCATAGGGGTTTTCCATGGGACCTTGGTCTTGTTCATCATGAGTCTCTTGACCACCCATATTAGAGGTCCTAACTCTAGCCCTTTTACTACGGGAAGCCATTATCCAATGAATTCAACAAAGTTTTTCACACAATGTAGGACAATTTTAAACTCTAGATTATGCACAAAAACTGGAAATACCACCAAAAATCACCCCAAAACGTGGTTCTAACTATATGCACAAAGAAAAGAGTTTGGAACAATTATACCAAATTTGTGCTTGTAAATGATGTTAGGGTGATGTCCAATGCTTCCCCAAGATTTCCCCATGCTTATCCTACAAGAAATTACAAAGATTAGCATGAAATTCGGAGACCTAAAAATTCTAGGGTTTGCTCAAAACCCCCAAAATCGGCCATTGGAGGGTGAAATTGAGATGCAAGACAAAGAAGATGAAAAAAGAGAAGAATTTCATATCTTGGAGTTTGATTTTTGGAGCAAAATTGAGGAAGATGGAGTGTTCTTGAGGATTTTTTTGAAGGGGGAAATAAGGAGAAGAGGATGCGCAGGTTTTTGTGAAAAATAAGTGAAGAAAAATCAGAATTTGTTGTTTAAAAATCACAGCCCTGTATTTGTGTTTACACGAGCTGTGTAAATGGTAGGCATGAATTTATGCGGGCCGTGCAAATGATATATCTGAACACACAGCACGACCGATTACACGGGTTGTGTAAACGTTAGGCATATGTTTACACGGTCGTGTAAATCTCTGAGATGGCAAAAAAAATCGATTTTTCATTTTTTCAAATTGCAACCCGCTAATTCGTTACTGCTTGGAAAATGATTTTTTAACCTCTTTGAACATGAAAAACAACTTGAAAGCTTAAAAACGAAGAAAATATGATGAGAAAATGAGAAATAAAGGAAAGGACAAAAATACCCCCGGGTTACCTCCCGGTTAGCCGCCCGTTTTTTTATGTCGTTGGCTCGACTTGGACCCTGAATATGCTTCATTCTTGACATGTGGGGCTCTTAACCACTTCCATCTGTTCGTTATTCACTTGGAATCCTTCATAATATGATTTCAATTTATGGCCATTTACTTTGAAAATCTTCCTAGTTTGTTGGTTGGTGATTTCTACTGCACCATGGTCAAAGACATTTGTGACCACAAAGGGACCAACCCATCTTGATCTTAGTTTCCCTGGTATTAACTTGAATCTTGAGTGGTAGAGCAACAATTTTTTACCTTTTGTGAAGGTTTTTAAGGAGATCATCTTGTCATGATATGCTTTGGTCTTCTCATTGTAGATCATTTCACTTTCATAAGCCTCATTTCTAATCTCTTCCAACCCTTGAATGTCCAACTTCCTTTTGTTGCCTGCTTCATCTTCATTCAAATTGAATTTCTTCATAGCCTAAAAGGCTTTGTGTCCAAGTTCAAATGGAAGGCGGCATGGTTTCCCAAACACTAGCCGATATGGGAACATACCAATAGGGGATTTGAAAGCAGTGCGGTATACCCATAAGGCATCATCCAACCTTTTACTCCAATCCTTACGGTTTGGATTGACTGATTTCTCCAAAATTCCTTTGATTTGCCTATTGGAAACCTCTGATTGCCTATTGGTTTGGGGATGATATGTTGTTGAGACTTTACGAGTCACCCCATACTTTTTCAAGACGACTTCAAGCATCCGGTTGCAAAAATGAGTCCCACGATCACTTATCAAAGCTTTTGGAGTTTCAAACAGGGAGAAAATCTATGTTTTTAGGAAATCCACAACAACTTTGGAATCATTAGTACGGGTGGCATTGGCCTCCACCCATTTGGACACATAGTCCACAACCAATAAAATATATATATATATATATATATATATATATATATATATATATATATATATATATATATATATATACATACAACCAAAAGAGGGCGGAAATGGTCCCATAAAGTCAATATCCCACACATCAAATATCTCACAAACCAAGATGGGGGTGAGAAGCATTTGATTCCTAAAAGTTAAGGATCCGGATTTTTGGCACTTATCATAATGTGCACATAGCACATAAGAGTCATAAAAAATGGTGGGCCAATATAATCCGCTTTCTAGAACTTTTCTAGTTGTCATTTGGGGTCATAAATGACCTCCACAAGCATAGGTATGACAAAGTTAAGGATGGGTTGTAGCTCTTTTTGCTCAACACATCTTCGGATCATTTGGTCTACGCAATACTTCCAAAGATATGGCTCATCCCATACATACCTCTTCACCTCCTTCTTGATTTTGTTCTTTTGCCAACGTATGGATTCCAGTGAAACTGATTTGTGACCAAATAATTGACAATGTTCACATACCATAGAGTTTCCTTGATAACTAACAAATGCTCATCTGGGAATATGTCACGGATTGGTGTGGTATCTCCGGGTGGCACAATACGACTGAGATGATCCACGACCAAATTCTTTTTACCCACTTTTATCTTTGATTTCTATATCGAACTCTTGCAGAAGCAACATCCACTGTATGAACCTTGGCTTCGAATCATTCTTGAGTAGTAAATGCTTTATAGCTGCATGGTCCGATTAGATAATCACTTTGGTCTCGATGAGGTACTGTCGGAATTTCTCCAATGCAAAGAAAATCGCTAACAAATCCTTCTCTACTATGGTGTAATTGGTTTGAGCACTATCCAAAGTCTTGGATGCATAGTAAATTACATGATAAGCTTGGTCCACATTTTGTCCTAAAACCGCCCCAATCATGGTGTTGCCAGCATCACACGTGATCTCAAATGGAAGATCCTAATTTGGCGGTTGAATGATGGGGGCAGATGTCAACAAATCCTTCAAATGATCAAATGCATTTTTGCATGCATCACCAAACTCAAAATCTGCTCTTTTTGTAGAAGTTGACACATCGGCTCTATGATTTTGGAAAAGTATTTGATGAACCGTCGATAAAAACCTGCAAGACAAAGAAATGAACGCACTTCTTGAACACTTGTTGGGTATGGTAAGCTCTTAATGACATCGATTTTTTTCCTTTTCAACTTCTAAACCTTTTTGTGACACCACATGTCCAAGTATAAGCCCTTGTCAACCATAAAATGACATTTTTCATAATTAAGGACTAGATTTGTGTCAATGCACCTTTGTAAGATTTTGGTGAGATTTTGCAAACATTCATCAAAAGAATTTCCATAAACAGTGAAATCGTCCATGAAAACCTCTATGATATTTTCAACATATTCTGAAAATATGCTCACCATACATCTTTGAAAAGTCACAGGTGCATTGCACAAGCCGAAGAGAATGCGTCTATACACAAAGGTACCAAAAGACATGTGAATGTGGTTTTCTCTTGGTCTTATGGGGTAACTGGAATTTGGTGAAACCCAAAGAAACCATCAAGGCAACAATAGTGAGATTTCCCGGCCAATCTTTCCAGCATTTAATCGATGAATGGTAAAGGGAAATGGTCTTTGCGGGTACAAGCTTCAACTTTCTATAATCAATACAAACCCTCCACCAATTTTGCACACAAGTGGGTACCAAATCCCCTTCGGAGTTTTTGACAACTATGACTCCAGCTTTTTCGGGACAACTTGCACGGGACTTACCCATTTCATATCAGAAATGGGATAGATTTTACCTGCATTCAAGATCTTCATGATCTCCTTTTTCACCACCTCCATCATTGGTAGATTCAATCTCCTATGGACTTCACGAGTTGGCTTAAAGTCCTCTTCCACCAATATTTTATGCATGCATAATGATGGACTTAATCCTTTATGTCTGCAACGGTCCAACCAATAGCCTCCTTGTACTTTTTCAAACTTCCAATCAACTTTTTTTCTACTTCTTTGGCTAGCTTGGTTGAAATTATCACTGATAATGTCTCTTCCTCTCCAAGATAGACATACTTGAGATGGTCAGGAAGAGTCTTCAAGTCAAGACTCGGTGATTGTACTATGGATGGAAGGAGTTTCGGATTGGAATTTTTGAGCTTCATGCGGGGTGGATCAACTCTCATAGGTTGTGCTTTTTCCAAGGAGTTGATTGTTTCAATTAATTCGTCCTCAAAAGTATACTTATTAGCCATATTCTTGATCCCTGTCTCATGAAAATGCTTGCTCAAGATGGTAGTTAGGACATCTTGGCTTGACAACTCAAAACAATCGTCAGTACATGAATCAATAACATCTATGAAGTTTAAGGAATGAATATCATTAGGATAACGCATAGCCTCAAAGATAGTAAATTTGATCGCCTTGCCATCGAACTCCATAGATAAAGTACCATTTGCTACATCTATTTTTGTTTTTGTGGTACTCAAGAAAGGTCTCCCCAAAAGGATGGAGCTCGATTGTAGGTGTACCAAAGATCGGTCCACAAGTTTAATGATGACTCTGGTTTTTGATAAAGGTCCAATTCCCATTGTTTTATAGCTTGCATAGGGT